AATACAATGATCAAAACTAAAGAAAAAATATAACATTGGTACAAACTATTAACTAAATTATAGACTTCAGAAAGAGCTCACATTTCAGAACTATTTCTACACGTCAGAATCCAAAGTCTCAGGCTGCATAAAGGCATCATTTCTCCTTAATGTCTTCCACTCTAAGATGATGTCTCAGTATTTCCCTGTCATTTCTGAAGTACTGTCACATGCAGAAGAATACTGAGCAAGGATTTGGAAGATAGCCCTCAGTTTGAGTACATCTGATAAGTCCCCATTGCTAGAATAAAGTCATGTATTTGGAGAAGAACTCCATTGGGCTAGTGGTAGACTAGCAGTAGCGTAATCAGTGGCCTTTTTAGCAAACTGTATCTGACAGGAATTGATGCCCATACATCATTACTGGTGAGGCTACCGAGGACCCTTGGGAGTACTGTGGAGAATCGCTTTTTAATTATTGCTTAAATTGCTTTTCAGTGATGAGTGAGATCAAATATTTATTCCTAGACTTATTTGCCATTTTTATTTTTTGTCCTCTAGATTACTTATTTATCTTTTATTGTACAGTTTTGTTTATTTTTGAATCTATTTTGATAAAGGTGTATATTATTTGTCTGTTGTATTTCATTCAAATGTATACATTTCATGGTAAATGTTAATTTTTAAAGAATTATTTATTGAATTTATTTATTAATTTTTTTTACCTGAGTTTTGCCAGAGAAAGAGAGAGAGAGGGAGAATGAGAAAGCAAGCTGCCAGGTCCAGGACTAGAACCAGTCTGCCATGTGGGAATTCCAGCTTCTTAACCACCATGTCACCTGCTGGCCCCAGTAAATGTTAATGTTTGAATGCAGATTTTGCATATGACTTCCTCATCAGCTGTTCTTTCAGAATTAATAGCTTTTTATTTCTTTTACTAGAGTTACCTGATCAGTCTTTTAGTTGGAAAATTGTCTTTGTATACTATTTTTCATGAATATTAATTTTCTTGGTTTTTTTTGTTTGTTTGTTTTTTTCTTTTCAGTGTCATTGACCACAAACACAAGAACAACATTGCCTTTTGATACTTATAGAAGAGCATGGGCAGCTATTCACCAATCCTGTCTACTTTGAGGAGCCTTCAAAAAGAATTTGTGGCTAGCAAGTGGCATAGTGGTTAAAGCACTGGACTCCCACATGGTCAACTGCAGTTCAAGTCCCAAACCCAGTGGCTCAAAACTTATGTCAGGCATGTACATGCATGCCCAAAATCCCAAGAGGAGAATGAAAGAGAGGGGATTGTGGTGTGACCATCCTCCCCCTGTGGGATGACTTCTCACTTTCTCTCTGTCTCTCTCTGTGTCTCCAAGAAGCACACTCACCCTATAGCAATAAATCTTTAAAAAAAAAATGGGAAAAATGAATTAAATTTTCATGAATTAAAATTATATTAATTTGCAAAACTTTTCATGATCTGTGCTTAAATTTTTCTTAATGTACCTTTTCCTTAAATGTTTTGAAGACCTCTTACACTCTTCATGAGCAATGGACAGTTCTTGCTCTCTTTCTTTCCCCATCTGACTGCCAAATGTGAAGGTGACACAATAGTTCATAGGTAAGTTTAATCCACTTATGTGCATAATATGCTGAGGCTGTGTGATAATATGACTGTTTTCCTAAAAAATTACTCAGAGCAAAAATCCTCACAAATGTACATGGGCATGGGACTTGAAGGGAATATATTTTTTAGAAAATTCTGTTAGTCACTAAACTTTGAGGTTTATCTGTTTTGAGCTCCTAACTATAGTAACAATCATAAATATAGCCTTGCCTTTAACTTTAATTAACAAGCTCCTGAGATTTTACAAGGAATTATAAGTTCACTTCAGGTTCTGTTAGTTCGTTGTTTTTTTTTTTTCTTTTTTTGAAATTTACAAAAACTTCAGTCTACTATTAGTTCCCCAAGAATTTTTAACCTAAACCATGCTTAAGTTTTATTGGATCCTACTAAAATAAAGACTTTAGATTTGTACTAAAATTGAAAAATTCCTGGTCTTGCTAGTCGTATGGTGGTTAAGGTAGCCAGCTTCCATATGGCCGATTATGTAGTTAGAGTCCTGGACCTAGGGGCTTGAAAAACGTGCCAAAATCCTGAAAGGAAAAACAGAAGGGATTACGATTGCAGCATGACCAGCTTCCACGGGAGGATTCCTTTTCATTCTCACTCCCGCCCTGTCTCACTTCAGTGAATTCACATGCCCTGTAGCAAATGAAAGAACAGGAGAAGAAAGGAAGAAAAGCCATTTCATAAGTACATCTAATCCACTTAAAGGCATAACTACTCATAATTTTAGATTTCTCATATGCTCTCATTTCTTCTCAGTTATTTTTCTTACTTTTTTTAAGGGCAATATTAAAGGGGTAAGTGTACTACAGCTCTTTCAGTTTATACAATACTGGCCGACATATTAAAAATTAGTAAAGAATTTAAACTGGGCCCTCATTCTTTATTACTTACTTGATTAGTACCATTCTGAAATTGTTTAGAAAATCAGTATTTTGGTGATGTGAAAGTATTCACTAAGTTCTTGTCACTAATAAAATTTGCCACGTGAACATAGATTACTTCTTATCGCTAAACACAAAGCAAACGTCCTACTCTAGAGCAATGCTGTCTTCATCTAAGAGCCCATAGAAATTAAGCTTCTTGTTGTTCCTATTAATAATTGGAAAAGAGAAAATCAGTAAGAATGAACACAATATGTACTTTAAAAGTGGATGATCTAACTGCTAAGTATTAAAAGAGGTTTTGTAAAAATTAAGGAAAGACCTCAAGTACCCTACAGATTTAGCGCATGAAATAATGAAATTTATACTTTTTTCCCCTACAATCCTGTTAGAAGAAAATTAAGAAGAAAGACACAAGCTCTCTTATTTTAACAAATATTTTAGTTATTGACCTAGAAAACTTCATTAGTTGGTACCTTATTTATAAACTCTTTCTTAAATAATTATATTATTATTATTACTATTACTATTATTTGACCAAGAGGCAAATTGAGAAAGCAAGCCACCAGATCCAAGACACAAACCACAGTTGGCCATGTGGGAGTCCGACCAATATATTAAACACCATGCCATCTACTGGTCCCATTTCTAAACATTTTATCAGACTGTCTCATGACAGAATACTGAGTACAGTTAAACTGAAACCGCAGTAGACAAAAACTTAAGAGAACTCCATCAGTCCACATAGTCAACCTCTGTCTCTTGAAAAAAAAAAAAATGTTGTTCTAAAGATCAGAGAAACTTGGTCAATGACCATTAATGAAAAATGAATATAATGTTACAAAAAGGAAATTTAACTGAAAGTAATACATCTAAACAGTTAGTAGACCACATCCCCAAATCCCAAGGTTTATTGTAAAAAAGTTAAATGTGACACTAACTCCAAAAATTTTTAAAATACATAGGTATTTCATGAGAAAGAATCTTTGAAAATTTTCTTCTTTAATATAAAACATTACATAAATAGGTACAGAAGCAAATCCAGAAATACATGTAGACCAAAGAGGACTTAGAAACAACACATTTTATAATCAACTTTATCAATATTGTATCTTAAAGACATTTTACAACTTAATGAATCTATTAATGTAATGGGGATATTAACAGTGTTGTTTGGGGGTCGGGTGAATTAACATTTTAAAGCATTTAAGCATGGTGTGCAATTATATGAAGGCTAAGAAGGGCCAGTGGTACAACAGGAAAAATGCTCTGTGATGCTAGACCAAAGTGGAATGGTCTAAGACCCAGGCCCTGAGGCCCCTCTGCACACACCACGTGACCCTGGCCGGCTGAGGCAGGGCATGGATCACAGCATGAAAATCCTGTTAGGGATGCTCTCGATCTCTCACAGAAGTAATAAATAAACATTTTTTAAAGGACTAGCTAAGTGATGCATAACCACAGCTGATGGACATATGTTGAGCATTTTTCTAGGTACTAGAGATACAACAGAGAATGAAATAAAGTCAGACGGACAAATAAATACATGAATAGATATTAATTAACAAAAAATTATGATAAACTCAGACAGACTTTTAGGTTGGGCATTGCTATTTGACCAGAAGATCCAGGGAACATTGAACCGTAGTGTAAAACTGGAAAAGCAACATGCAGGATGAGAAAGGGCCAGCGTACTGTCTGTAGGATGAGCCTGCTGGGCAGAGGGACCAGCTCGAGCAGGTAGGAAGCTGGGGTGAAGCTGAAAGGACCTAGGAATAGCTGGGAGACAGCCGGTGGAAAATAGCAGACTGGGGTACAGCAGAGGGAGAAATGTTAAAAATGAATCAGACCAGTTTCTTTTGTAGAGACTCTGGTTTGCAGTATGAGTAAGACCAGAAAGCATTCTCCTACTTTTAACAAAAGTATTATGCAAAAACAGAACTATCAGTTAACTTCCCATGGAAATTTTGAGATTTAGCATTTAGCTTAAATACAATATTCCATTGTAGACAACTTTCTGCTGACTTCGGTCAAATATGATAATTTTCTACTAATTTTTTTAAAAATACAAAGTGTAGGAAACTGATCTGGGGTCCTTCCTTTATCCTTATGAGCAGGAGAAGACTGATCCCAGATTTAATTTTCTTTGTAATAATGACATAAGAGCATTTACCATATCCAATACTAATTCAATAAATTATTTGTGAATTGGCAAGTCCTGATAAATCGACCCAAAAATAATTTGAAGAACTTTCTCAAGAATGGATAAATAATAAATGAGATTTTAAACATAATAGACTAATAAATATTTATTGCTAGATACTGCCTAAACAATTCTTTCTCTGATCTTACTAGATCAAAGACTTGATTTAAAAAAAGGCAATAAATATGCAATTAATAAACAGTTGCTAATTATACACACCCGAAATAACCATTGCAGATAAGACAGGTTGAAAACTGACCACCTAAAGATGTCCCTATCCTTATTTCTGGGATCCCCAATGAATACGTACCTGATATAGCAAAGGAGATTCTCTAGGATGTGATTATGTTATGAATTCTAAGACATGGCATCCACTCTGCATTATTCAGATGGCCCAATGCAATCAGAGGTTCTTTTAAAAAGGGAGGCAAGAGGTTTAGAGTCAGAAACAGGGACTGGAAGCTGGAAGATGCTGCACTGCTGGCTTTGAGTACGGAGGTTAGAGCAGAGCTAAGCACTTGGCGGTCTCTAGAAGTTTGGAAAGACAAAGAAAGGGGTTTCCCCAAGAGGCTACAGAAGGAGCACAGCCAATGGAAACTTCAATTCTTATAATTTTTGAATTCCAAAACTATAAAATAGTAACATTTTAATCTACTACATTTTTGGCACTGTGTCACTGCAGCAATAGAAACCTAATAAAGAAGGTAAAATAAAAGTAACAAAGATTGTATTTTCTCTTTTTAAAGATCTTCTTGATCTAATTACAGAAAAAGGATTATTTACATGGAAAACTAAATGACAAGACAAAATAATTCATCCAATTTCTTTATCTATAAAATATGTGGGTTGAAAAATTTATCTTTAACAAATATTAAATTCTATTTTTCTGTTTCTTTTCTATTAATAACCCAAAGAAGTGTGACTATTCTTTTCCAAGTTTGTGCCAACTTTATAAATGTACCATATAATTATGACCATTGTGATATTTTTATTTTACAGTTTTTTTATATAAATAATAATTTTAATGAAGTTTACCACCAAATCAAATTATTCCCCGAACCAAACCCATCTCCTGCTGCAACAAATTTATTTCATTTACTCTCCTTAACTTCTCTTTGTGTAACGTTTAATTTTCTAGTTTTCAAGAAATTATTCATGGCCAACCACCTTTTTTATTCATAAGTAAATTAATGTTTTAAGTCAAACAATACAAGATTATATTTACAGTTACCATATATCAATCTTCTTTTTTCCTTTACTTTTTTTTTTTTTTTTTTAGGTTATTACCATAGGGTACATGAGTTTTCCAGAGAGATAGAAGGAAAGTGAGAAATCACCCCTCCAGGAGGGCTGGCCATACTGTAATTCCTTCTCCTCCATTCTCCTCCTGGGATTCTGGGAATGCATGCACATGTGCCTAGTGTGATTTTCAAGCTGCCAGGTCCTGGACTTGAACTCTCATTGGACGTGTGGTAATCCAGTACCTTAATCATCACACCTTGTGCTGTCCCCCCATATATCTATATTTTTAACCAGTGATATATTAAGCTGCTTGAACGAATCAAAAGTTAAATTAGTTAAATTATCATAGAGAGTGAAATGTGGTCTTCTCTCAGCGCTTGCATTTCACAATAAGCTAGTGAGAATAATCACATTCAAAGGCTTCCATGGTTTACTAATTATAACTTCTTTCAGAAAATAAATTAGCCACAGAATGAGCATGAAAGGTGTAAACGGAGAATTTTTAGACAGAACATAAGCAATGTATGATGAGAACTGAAACAGTTTATTTGATTTGATATGAGTAGAGATGTATTTTATATTTTTGAACCAGGCTAGGTATAATATCATCAAATTAGCCATAAGCTACTACAATATGCACTATATGTAATATATCTTAATATGTTATATACATAAATTATGTGAAGCCAATATGAATATGTATTTATGTATTTTTGAGGGAATGTGAAACATTTGGCTTACATAAGATTTTGATAGAATAAAATATCTGGTTATTCCCAAAACCCCAAAACCATAGAACTGTTTGAGGAATGAGGATTTTGAATTATCTTGTATTTTCATGCAAATCAAGGTAGAGTAGGAAAGAAATTTCCATAATATGTAAACTTTCCTGACAGGATCCAGGACATAATCGTCTATGGTTTTAGCTTTCTGAAAGAGGGTTTATCTCCTCCTGCCTGTAATGTTTTAGCACAGATCACACTGTGTTGCCTAAATGTAGTCAAAGGATAAGTTGCAACAGTTACCGGTCAACTCCCTCCCAGGAAATATTACTGTGTTAAAATGTATCTGAAATCTGAAACTTGCTTATTTACAAAGTATCAGCATAATTAAAACTGAGAAGTCTTTTATTTTCTATTTCATGTATTTCTGCTCTTATCTTTATTATTTCCCTTCTCCTGGAGTTTTTTTGGATGTTTTTGCAGTTGCTTTTCGAATTCTCTAAAGCATGATGTTAGGTGATCCATTTGCCTTCTTTCCGTGTTCCTCTGATGTGCACTCATTGCTATGAACTTTCCTCTTACGACTGCTTTAGCAGTGGCCCAAAGATTATGGAAACTCATGTCCTCAATGTCATTGGCTTCCATGAACTTTTTGATTTCAGTCTTTATTTCAATAGTTGTGGAGTCATTCAGGAGTAGGTTATTAAGTTCCCATGTATTTGAGTATTTTTGAGGATTTCTCTTGAAATTAAACTCAAGTTTAGTTCCATCATGTTTGGGGAAGATGCTGGGTAAAGTTTCTATGCTTTTGAATCTGTAGAGGCTTCCTTTGTGCCCTATGATATGGTCAATCTTCGAAAAGGTTCTGTGTGGAGGTGAGAAAAAAGTGTATCTCATGGGTTTTGGATGAAAAGTTCTATAGATGTCTGTTAAATCCATTTGATTTATGATATCGTTTAGATCCTTTATCTCTTTATCTATTTTTTTGTCTAGATGATCTGTCCGGACGGGGTAGAGCGGTATTGAGGTCTCCAACAGTTAGTGTGTTGCAGTCTAACAGTTACCATATATCAATCTTCTTTTTTCCTTTTCTTTTTTTTTTTTTTTTTTAGGTTATTACCATAGGGTACATGAGTTTTCCAGAGAGATAGAAGGAAAGTGAGAAATCACCCCTCCAGGAGGGCTGGCCATACTGTAATTCCTTCTCCTCCATTCTCCTCCTGGGATTCTGGGAATGCATGCACATGTGCCTAGTGTGATTTTCAAGCTGCCAGGTCCTGGACTTGAACTCTCATTGGACGTGTGGTAATCCAGTACCTTAATCATCACACCTTGTGCTGTCCCCCCATATATCTATATTTTTAACCAGTGATATATTAAGCTGCTTGAACGAATCAAAAGTTAAATTAGTTAAATTATCATAGAGAGTGAAATGTGGTCTTCTCTCAGCGCTTGCATTTCACAATAAGCTAGTGAGAATAATCACATTCAAAGGCTTCCATGATTTACTAATTATAACTTCTTTCAGAAAATAAATTAGCCACAGAATGAGCATGAAAGGTGTAAACGGAGAATTTTTAGACAGAACATAAGCAATGTATGATGAGAACTGAAACAGTTTATTTGATTTGATATGAGTAGAGATGTATTTTATATTTTTGAACCAGGCTAGGTATAATATCATCAAATTAGCCATAAGCTACTACAATATGCACTATATGTAATATATCTTAATATGTTATATACATAAATTATGTGAAGCCAATATGAATATGTATTTATGTATTTTTGAGGGAATGTGAAACATTTGGCTTACATAAGATTTTGATAGAATAAAATATCTGGTTATTCCCAAAACCCCAAAACCATAGAACTGTTTGAGGAATGAGGATTTTGAATTATCTTGTATTTTCATGCAAATCAAGGTAGAGTAGGAAAGAAATTTCCATAATATGTAAACTTTCCTGACAGGATCCAGGACATAATCGTCTATGGTTTTAGCTTTCTGAAAGAGGGTTTATCTCCTCCTGCCTGTAATGTTTTAGCACAGATCACACTGTGTTGCCTAAATGTAGTCAAAGGATAAGTTGCAACAGTTACCGGTCAACTCCCTCCCAGGAAATATTACTGTGTTAAAATGTATCTGAAATCTGAAACTTGCTTATTTACAAAGTATCAGCATAATTAAAACTGAGAAGTCTTTTATTTTCTATTTCATGTATTTCTGCTCTTATCTTTATTATTTCCCTTCTCCTGGAGTTTTTTTGGATGTTTTTGCAGTTGCTTTTCGAATTCTCTAAAGCATGATGTTAGGTGATCCATTTGCCTTCTTTCCGTGTTCCTCTGATGTGCACTCATTGCTATGAACTTTCCTCTTACGACTGCTTTAGCAGTGGCCCAAAGATTATGGAAACTCATGTCCTCAATGTCATTGGCTTCCATGAACTTTTTGATTTCAGTCTTTATTTCAATAGTTGTGGAGTCATTCAGGAGTAGGTTATTAAGTTCCCATGTATTTGAGTATTTTTGAGGATTTCTCTTGAAATTAAACTCAAGTTTAGTTCCATCATGTTTGGGGAAGATGCTGGGTAAAGTTTCTATGCTTTTGAATCTGTAGAGGCTTCCTTTGTGCCCTATGATATGGTCAATCTTCGAAAAGGTTCTGTGTGGAGGTGAGAAAAAAGTGTATCTCATGGGTTTTGGATGAAAAGTTCTCTAGATGTCTGTTAAATCCATTTGATTTATGATATCGTTTAGATCCTTTATCTCTTTATCTATTTTTTGTCTAGATGATCTGTCCGGACGGGGTAGAGCGGTATTGAGGTCTCCAACAATTAGTGTGTTGCAGTCTATCTCCCCTTTTAGATCTAACAGTCTTTCCTTCACATATTTAGGTGCTCCTGTGTTAGGCACATAGAAAGTTATGTGTTATATCTTCTTGATCTATTAATACTTTTACTACAATATAGTGCCCTTCTTTGTCTCTTCGAACAGTTTTTGTTTTAAAGCCTGTTTTGTCAGAAATTAGTATTGCTACTCTAACTCTTTTTTTGGTTCCCATTCACATGGAAAACTTACTTCCAACCCTTCACTTTCAGTCTATGTATGTCTTTATCCATGAGGTGGGTTTCCTGTAGGCAACAGATAGAGGGTTTCTGTTTTTAATCCTTTCAGCCAGTCTGTGTTTCTTGGCTGGAAAGTTTAATCCATTCACATGCGATGTTATCATTGATGTTACCAGATCTGTCCCAACGTTTATGCTGGCCATTGTCTTAGCTGCCTTTCATTCCGTTATTTCTGTCTGTTAATTCTTTAGTTTTCCTGGAACAGTACTTTCTTCAGGGTTTCTTGAAGAGCTGATCTGGGGTTGGCAAATTCTTTCAGGTTTTGTTTTTCTGAGAAGATATTTTAATCTTTTTTTTTTCCATATAAAGGATAATCTTGCAGGATATAATAATCTTGGTTGAAATTGTTTCTCTCTTAACATTTGCAATACATCTTCCCATTCTTTCCTTGCTTGCACTGT